AGTTAACGCGTATGAAATACTGGGAATGCCTGGCACACCCAGATGTCTTCTCATTTCTTTTTGCCATTGCTGCTGTTGTCATTGTCACCCTTTGCAAGGTGCAGCCTTCTTACCCAGACCCCAGAATCACCTGCGTGTGCGTGGTCAAAAGGAGGAGCCAGGTCTCAGGGTCAGAAGAGGGAAAGGAGTCAGAGGTTTCAAGCTTGGAATGAAGAGGAGGGAGACGTGAAGAAACAACTGTGCCGAAGCCCTGAGCTGAACTTGCAAATCAATCTGCTGGGAGGGCGGGGGGTGGGCAAGCATGTTTCTTTTTGGTAGTACTTTTTGTCTAAAAGAAATAGGAGATATGAAACCTCAACCAGATTTGAGACTGTTCAAACTATGTATTATTTATTAGCCATTCCCAGCCTACTGCCGGGCTCTTGACCTTGACTCTCAACGCTGACCTTTTTTTTCAGTTTACAAGGTGGTTCTTTCCAGATCCAAGGTAGATTTTAAAATGAGGTTCTCTCATCATTTCATTTTAGTCTTAAAAGCCTAAGAATATTGGCGTCATGAAAAAAAGAGAGAATGGTGCTGACTTGACTTCTCATTTCTGGGGACAGGGTGACCAAAGGATAGAAAGTGTGGGGGCACTTTGACGAATCAAGGCAACGTCTTTTCTTCGGTACCTGCATGTCTGTCCAGCAGACAGAGGTCAGAGACCCAGGGGCTAAGGCGGGGACGGAGTTAATTTCCACAGAATACTGATAGATCGTGCACATGGCTTTTAAAAAGCAGGACATGCAGATACTAAAGGGGGACGGCTTCGTTTTTGCATGCGGAGAGTTTCCATGCGAAAAGATTTGTAAAGTAAACTCTTTGATCTAAAGCTTAAAATAGCAGTAAAGGCCTTGGCAGGTACAGCAGGGGGAGGGAGCAGGGAGGCAGGAGCAGTTCCAGGAGAGGCAGAAGCCTGAGCCAGGCCTGGAGTAGAAAAGAAGCACCGGAGGGCTCCGCAGCAGCTTTAGCTCCTCAAGAAATGTGACGAGCGGTGGGCGGATTCCTTGGGGCAGCGTGGCTGGATTCTGTGACTCGGTGGAGTGTGGAGAGTCAGACGCGGGTGCTGTCAACACAGCCCTGAGGGCAGCCTCCAAGACAGATTAGATCCCCGTGCAGGCCCAGCTTGGCCGCTCAGGCCCAGAAAATAAAGAGTGGGACATAGATGTACATATACATGTATGTATGTAATACACATATACACACAAATGCATGTGTGTGTGCACATGTGTTCTATACGTGCATGTACGTATGTGTATACATACACATGAATACACACCCTCCCAGTTACATACACTCCCCGAGAACAGGATGCTGGCGGTCCCTCCCTTCTAACCCAATGCCCGGTACAGTCGGTGCTCAAATCTTAAATATTATTGGGCTACATTAGTAACCAAGGGGTCTGCTCTGCTGACGTCTGTTTGCCATCTTCTCAGCTCCTTCTCTCCAGCACTGTCCGTGAACTCCTTACAAACGCGTTTTGTTGCGGTGCAGGTTAAATAACCACCCCGTGCACTTAAAGGCGTGTGTTTGTCCGGTGTCCAACCCACCATCCGTATGTTCTCCGCCTGTTGAATGTGTGGCTCTGGGACAGTCCACTCTCCAGTCCCTGCCTCTGAAACCCGCCCCCTGGGCTCTGCTGATACACCTCTCAGGTCCCTGTTCTGCGTTGGAATCAGATTCGTCACTGTGGCTAGAAACGAGTACCAGAAGCCCCTCTTGCCACACAGTGGAGCCGCTTTATGACACTGGCGTGGGTGGGGAAGTGCTGGCATTTGGGGGTAACCGCGGGGTACCATGCGGAAGTGCAGTCAAGCCCAGCAGATGATGTTCATGAGGACTTTGCCTTTTCTTTATCCCAAGTGAGATGGAAAACCACTGTGAGTTTTGAGCAGAGTGACATGATCTGGGTGGCAGGTGCTCTGCTAAGAGGGAGCATGTTGCTCTAGGAACAAAAAAGGGCCTTTTGCTGGCCTTCCAGGATCGGCACTTCCTGGTGCAGCGCCAGGAGACGGTGTCACGGGAGCAGAGCGCCTGGCCCGAGCCGAAGCCCCTTGGAAGGCCCAGGGATGCGAGGCCTGGGCAGGTCACGAAGGGGCCTGCTCAGCATGAAGGGACTTGAACATGACTCTGAGGGCAGGGAGAGCCTGCGGCGTTCTCTGGAGGGGCGGGACATGATAAGGGACANGGGGCCTGCTCAGCATGAAGGGACTTGAACATGACTCTGAGGGCAGGGAGAGCCTGCGGGGTTCTCTGGAGGGGCGGGACATGATAAGTGACGTGTTCCTCTATCAACATTCTGGCGGCTGTGTAGAGGAAGGCGCGACCAGGTGATGGAATCCAGGTGGCGGCGGCCAACATTAAGTCAGCATCGTGGAGATGGAGTCAAGGAGCCAGATTCCAGACAAATCACTCAGGAGAAGTCAACAGGCGTGGCTGTCGAGAGAGAGGAAGAGGGAAGGGCCTGAGATGGCCTCCAGGTCCTTGGGCAAGGAGGTAGCTGCCAGCACATAGTGACCAAGGCCATGCCAGTGGGTTAGATGACTCCGATGGGGGGACTTCTCTGTGGGTGTAGAGAATAGGACCAGACTCACCTCTTACAGCCTATAGTCCCAACGAAAAGGCCCTAATTCTGCTCTACCTCTTGATAAGCGAGGTGGCAATGGTCCGTTCTTTTTGCTCATAGATTTTAACTGCATATATGCATTTCTAAGGATGAAAATAGAACTATTAGGTTGCAATATGCCTCATTCTGGAGCAAGCTGAGTGGCAGACATCTGGGGTGCAGGGAACAATGTGTCAGGCCTGGCAGGGGGGAGTTAGTTATCTGAAAATATTCACAGGCTCTCTCTGGGAGCCCAGGCTCTCTGTGTTAGCCTACGGGCCATGCTGGCTGTCCTGGGGATTTAGGCATGCTAATGAAATGCGGGTACCCTGGCTGCTGATACCTACCTGTGTGCCCCCCAAGTTTGAAGGAGGCAGAAAGAGGCTGAGGTCTGGGTCAATGAGCAGGCTGTGTGCCTGGAGAGACCTGAGTACTAATTTTAGGAGTAACAGCCACATGGAGGAAGTATCTTTAGAGGCTGCAAGGCTGAAATTGTATGAAAATGACAGGGTTTAGGTCATCCTTGCTAGGTGTGGGTCAGCTGGCCAGGTTTTTATCAGTGTTTCGCACAGAAACCGGTGTTGAAATCAGACAGATGCAGTCCCGGCCTTTGGTGGCAGGGTGACAAATAGCAGGAAGACTGTGCACTTTAAAGTTTTGATCTGGGCTGAAGGGCCATCCTTGCTACCCCCAAACTACACTGAAACCTGATGGAGTCATTTGTGGGAACAACAGATGGATATGCAAAAACTTTTATAACTTACCCAGAAGGGAGGGCAGACACCTCCCCACCCTTGGCTCAGTTGCTACTGCCACTCAGTCTTTGTATTTCTAATCTTATTGGTTCACTTCAGTTTTTCAGCCTTGGCCACCCCCGCGATGGGCTAATTTGCATTACTGTTCTGCTGCTTTGCATCTTTTTAGTGTCAGGGCTGTTCCATTTGAAGCTTGCTCTAGGAGAACTGAGTCCACAAAAGCCTTGTGTGGAACCCAACAGATCGTCACACCCCGTGACAATGCTAACGAGGAACCAGAGGAGACACTGGAGTGATGTTTCGGTTTATCAGTTTTCATGGGGCAGTGGGGTTCCAGGGGAGGAGGTGGGTTTGGTGGATAGATTTGCCCTGGGAAGTGTCCAGGAATGGCTTCTCCCCCTTAATTATAGTTTTAGTAAAGTGGCCAGTAATCCGGATTTGCCTAGACCAAAAGCCCAGGGGATATTTGGAAATCCCTTTCCTGTTTCTGTACCCTGTAACCACAGTAACAAGGCTTCTTAGGGTTGTAGATTTTTAAGAAACAGCTTTTGATTTAACTGTTAATAAATATTGCAGGTAACGGGAATGACTGCCGCTGTGTACTGTAGTTTGCGATGTGGAAATGAATAAGTCCTTAGATGCCCTTTTCTGCGACACCCGTTAAGCCTGTATATACGTGATCACCTTGGCCATGAAGTTATTCTTTCCTTTCTACCTCCCAGGAGGGGATTGAAGGGTAGCCAGCTAATATCAGGGGAGGGGGAGCCCCCTAGTGGAAAACCGTCGGGGCAACAGGAGGCTTGTTACGCTTAGTCCTGCGAGGTGACTGTGGCACCCAAACGTGACCTGCCTTGCCATATCCTCCTGCTGGTTGGGAAGGTGTCTATCAACAAATCTCTCGTGTGGATTCATCAAGAACATCTCGAGACCCATGCCACGTAGGGAATCTGTTTAAAATCATTATCCTAAGGACATAGATTCTTCGTGGCCCTCACTTGAAAAGCCTGGGATGGACAAGGTCAGGGAGTGGTGAATGAATTTTGATAATAAATTAAAAATCGAGTCTAAATTCGTTGAGACGACCCCCGCATGTCCCTAGGGCTAAGGCCTGTGCGTCTCCACTTACTTCTTTAAGCAGAACACCCCTTGCGAACCCTTCCTTCCTCCGGGCCCTTACCTGAGCTGGGTCGTGACTGTCATTGTAATTCACGGTGCTGTTTGCCTTGTAACTGGGAAGAAAGTGACGACGCGTGTTCTCCCCTATCCCTGACCACACGCATGTCTGAGACTACAGTGTCCGATTTTTACCAAGATTTCCCTGCCTTCTGGGCTAGAGTCATGATATTCCTGTTGATCCTTTATTCCTGTCACTAATTATTTACAAAAAAAAAAAAAAAAAAAATTAAATAAAAATTTAAAATCTCAAAACTTTGCGGTTTAAAATAATTTACTGATATTAATGTTTTATATATATAGGGGGGTTTTAAGCATCCTGTGTGGGGAACCCCCCCATGTACATGCAGTTCTTACGTTCCTTCCTAAAAAAGATACAGCAATCGGGTTGGGGCCCTTGCTCAGCGCTCTGTTGTTCATCAGCAACCATGAGCCCCTCTCAAGGACTCAAAAATCGTGTCCCCAGGCAACAAGAACCCGACTTGGAGAGTGTGCCCTTCGGAGACTCATCATGCAGCAGAGTCAGCGGCGAAAATGCTGAAACTCAGCACATTTGAACTAAAACCACAGTTGCCTCAGTTTCTAGTCTGTGGCACTGCAGAGTCTCTGACTAGTAAGCAAACCTAGCTGTCCTTTTCTGAACAATAGCAAAAAAAAAAAAAGTGGCCACAGCAAGGATTCATAAATCCTATCTGTAGCTCAAGGACCTCCTAAGGCCTCTTATCTCCCCTGAAGCGTGCTCAGCCTGACAGATGTGGCCGCTGCTGAAGTCTCAGGGGCCTTCCTCTCTCTGGGGCTCACCTGGATGCTCAGTCACCTGCTGTGGGAGGTAAACCTCACAGGGGACAGGACTTTGGGCTTATCTGCAAATGTTACATCTGATTATAATTGCATTCCTCTTACAGGCGAGTACAGATGCTTCCAGCTTGAAAAAGACAGATCCCAAAGGTCGGAGTGCACTGTTAGCCGACATCCAGCAAGGGACTCGCCTTCGGAAGGTCACGCAGATCAACGACCGCAGCGCCCCGCAGATCGAGAGTAAGTGAGCGCAGGGGCTAGGGCTGCCGTGAGCCTATTTTGGATATTTCTTATAAAGGGAATCATACGGCATGTGGCCTTTTGTGACCGGCTCCTCTCACTGAGCATTATGTTTTCAAGGTTCATCCATGTAGCAGGAACCAGTACTTCACCCCTTTTTTATTGTTGAATAATATTTCACTGTATGGATACACCGCTTTGTGTTTATCCATTGCAAGGTAACATTTAAACATCACTGTGTCAGCATAGTCCTCAAACTCAATGAGAGAAAAAGAAAAGCCTCAGCATTAAAAAATGCAAAGTTTTTGTTTTTCCACCAGGAGAAAGATTTATTCTAAATTCTCTCACAGGATCAAATGGCTGCCGCTTCCTGTGTCTTCTAGAATGTGAGAGGGTAAACAGAGCCCTGGGCTTGGGTCAGACGGCTGCTGCGTCTGCTACCAGACAAACCAAGGACCTCTTCCAGACTCAGTGTGTTCACCTGCAAAATGGGAGAGATAATAATGCCTGCTCCTTTATGTATGTGTCAAGATAGTGAAAGGTTGATACAATCAATATATGCAGAATTATTTATCATTGTCAGGCATTATGATGTCTTCCTACATTTTTCATTGATGAGCATTCTGTCAATTCTCAAAGATAGCCCCCAAAATATAATTGTATCTAGTATCTGTAATTATATATGTTAACACACAAGGATAGACAAATTATTTTAAGAAATTTTCAACAATTACAATAAAAACTAGTTTCTGGTGAGACCCACTATATAATCTATTAAGCCCAATAGAGAAGTCCATTTTATGGAAATGCTCACTTCCTAATCATTGCAATGAGTACGTAACGGATAATACTAATATTTAGAATAACCCGGCCACATTCACCCACCAGTGGGCCCTGTGGATTAATTTCTCTGTGCACGTTAACTTCAGGTCGTGAAGATTTTTCTGCCAGGAGTCCTTTTCTAAGCTGGATGTCTTCTCGTCTTAAGTAGATAGTAATCGCACACATCTGGAAGGCAAGAACTAGTGACGCCTCCCCTCCAGGGCTCCTCAGCTTTCTCTTGCATAGACAGACAGGTGCAGGGAAGCCTGCGGGGCTCGGGGAGTGGGAGCTCAGGAACAGAAAACACTGAAGCACAGATCACTGCAGGCCTTCACTGCCCGTTTGCCGTCCAGGGCCAGGCTCTGTGCGCAGGAAGTTAAAATCACTGTCTGAGTTAAATCTGCGGGTTCTCTCTGCCTAGTCCCCCCACAACCAGTCAAGTTGAAAACAGGACCAGCTCTATATGTAGAATGTTTGGGTTTTCTCATTTGATAGGTGCTGCCAGTTCCTCCATTGGCATCTATTAACTGGCAATAGATAGGTCCTTGGTTCTGGTCACTTTTCAGAGTGGTCAGCCACCTATGGTTGGTTCTTTGGAAGGCCCAGAGAGGGCAGCAGACATGGGGGGAGGGGGGGCACAAGTTTGCAGGGTATCGAGGCAGAGGGTGTTTGGGAAAGATCCATCCAGAAGAGTAATACTGCTTGGAGGATGGGAAGGCTGCCACTGGCAGCGTCAGACTGTGGCCCTGGGTGAGCATTGGTTGCTCAGCTCTGCTCACACGTCCCCATTATCTGCCTCTTCTCTCTAAAGGTCCTAAAGGAACCAACAAAGAGGCGGGAGGCTCTGCAAACTCTCGAGGAGGGAGCACGCCCCCAGCCCTGGGAGATCTGTTTGCTGGTGGCTTTCCTGTGTTGCGACCAGCAGGCCAGAGGGATGCAGCAGGTAAGGAGGAATCCAGACTAGCTACCTTGTGATCTTCATTCCCTTCGCTTGTAGACCCAACTGGGCCATCCTTCACATGCCAGTAGGTGACACAGTCCTAGTGAGCAGCTGTGTAGTAGGAGATCATGCACCTGGGAGCCTAAGCACCAGAAATTTCCAAAGTGCAGAATTGTGCTCGAGGGATCTTTTAAGTCATCCTTCTGTTTAAATCTTCCCTCTGGATTAATGAAGAATGATTGGCCACAGTGCACAGTGTTTAGTGATGGTGCCATGTGGCCCAGACTGCAAAGCACAGACAGAAGGTGTAAGTCACATTAGGAAATCTTAGTGACTTCACTGTGGCCTCGCTGGCAATGACTAAGTCTTAAAGGTTCTTAGTCATTGTATCAGTTAGGTATTGCTGTGTAACAAAATACCCTAAAACTTAGGGGCTTTTAACAACCATTTATGTAGTTTATAATTCGTGGGTTGGCAATTTAGGGTGGTCTCAGCTGGACTCCCTCTAGTATCTACAGGTTGGGTAGGTGGCTTTGCTCAGCTTATATCTCATATCTTCGGTGCCTCAGCTGGGCCCACCGACCTGACTGAGCCATATGGTCACTCAATATGTAGCAGACTGTTCGGGGTTTGTTTTCATAGTGATGGCAAGGTTCCAACAGAGAGGACAGAAGCATACAGAGCCTCTCGAGGCTTAGACTTGGGTCGTAGTATTACTTCCTATTCTACCCTCTTTTCCAAAGCAAGTCGCAAGGCCAGGCAGAGAGAAGGGTGGGGAAAGAGATTCATCCCTTGGTGAGAGGAGCTGCAAGATCACATTTCAAAGGTTGTGCGATCAGGAATAAGTGGATAATCGAGGTAATTTTTGCAACCAGTCTACCGCAGTCATTTTGTGTTTTAGTGGGTATCAGATGTTTTGGAAACATTGCATTAAAATTAGGAAAATATATATTATGTGCAGAAAAAGTGTTTTTCCTTTTTTTTTTTTCTTTTTTGATAAGCTCAACGAATTTCATTAATCCAGGGAATATCAAGCCCCAAACATCCCTGGTATAGAATCTTCTGCCATGTGACTTGGCTAACTTTCGTAATGGGCTCTGTGGCTGTGTGACATTAAGGGATGCATTTGCTGCTGTCACCTACTGATAAAGGCTAGCACAGATAAGGACCGTGGGATGCTTTGAAATCTAACCTGAACCTTCTCAGAGGCCATTTCATTTCACCATTTTTGCTGAGGGTTTTTCAGACAAGAAAGCACCAAGGTCATCCTGAGACCCGGCATTCTTCTGCACCCACTTCTTTTTCAAACTTCCTGCATGGTACCAAAGAAACATCCTTTGGGATATAAAAATTCCACTAGTTTCTCTTAACAGAAATAACCCCAGTCAGGTTATAAGAGGGATCAGATAAAGGGAGCCAACAGTATTCCCACTTGTCTCCAATAGGACACACGTGTCAGATGTTAGAGCCACTACGAGAAATCAAGTATTGATCTCTTTAGAGGAGATCAAAATCCATAATGAAGTGACTAATGGTGCCTGTAACAGGAGGGAAACTCAAGATCAGGGCCAATAGGTAGATGCATGGCCTTAGTGCCATGTCACGGTGAGACACCATGGCTCTTCTCTCAGAACTCTCCCCTCAGCCCCCTTGGCATTCAGAGAAAAGGACTTTGGCCTTTGCTATATCTCTGGTCTTCTTGTCTACCACTCTTGCTGGCTCAAGCCCTGCACTCCAGCCACACACTGCCCTCCTTGCTGTTCTTTACACAAACAAGGCACATTGCTGCCCCAGGGCCCTTGCACTGAGCTCCCTTGGCCTGAAACACTCCTCCACAAATGTCCACATGGTTCACTATCTCCCTTCCTCCAGGTCACTGCTCAAATGGCATCTGGTCAACTTATCAGTGAGGCTTATTCATCATCTATATAAAATGAGTCCTACTCTCTCCATATCCCCTCTATCTTGATTTGTTTTCCTTGTATTACTTACCACCATTGGACATATTACATATTTACTGGTTCATTTTCTCCCTCTATCTATGCTCCAGGAAGGCAAGAACGGTGTTTTGTTTATTGCCTTAAAAATGTCTGGCACATAGTAGGTGCTTTGTAAGTATTTGTTGAATGAAATGTGTGAGTGGGTAGTATGGTTGCTCAGAGCCATTAGGCCCAGAGAGCACAGAGTCTAGTGCTCACAATACTTTTAGGGGCCCATGAAAACGTTTGAATTTCTTTTAAAATCAGGGGAGAAAAAACCATGAAGTTTTAGCGTCAAAGATTATATTTGTCTTTATAGCAGTGCAGTCGCAAAGTGTAATATTAAATATTTTTTTAAAGCAGGAGTGCCTAGGGTCTCCAACAGTCATACTGTGGCCCTGACTTAGAGCTCAAGGGAGTGATCATAAAAATAAGATACAATTGTACAGAATGTAGAACGAGACTTCCGTGCAGTCCAAGGTCTTCTGGAAACATGTGCACATTGAAAGAAGACATTTCATCTTCTGATAACCCCCAGGCCCTAGACGCTGATTCCTTTCCTATCAGCGGAGCCGCCTGCGTGCACCCCAGCTGGCCTTTCCCCCGACGCACGGGCTCCTTTCGTGCTTCTGTTTGGGCTTCTAGGGCCTGGTGCTTATGCCATGTTGGCAAACTCCTCCCTTCCTTCCCTGGCACTCGCTGCGGGAGCTCTGCTGGCCAGGTGCCTGGCTGCTCTCCTCGCTGCACTCACGCCATCAGCTCCTCTCTCTCCCGCGGGTCTCACCTTAAACGCAGGCTGCCAGCTCTGTGTGATCCCAGAGTGGGCATGAGGATTAGTGCCAAGNGCTCCTCTCTCTCCCGCGGGTCTCACCTTAAACGCAGGCTGCCAGCTCTGCGTGATCCCAGAGTGGGCATGAGGATTAGTGCCATCCTTGCTTCTCTGCTCATGTTATGATAAGAATGGGTTTGCCCGTTTCTCATTTAGTTGGCTGCTTAGTAAGCAGAGGCTCCTGTACTTCGAACTGACTCACTTGGCGGGTTTTTGAATCTTGGAAACATGGTGTCCGCAGCCACTTAAAGAGTTTGGGTTGGTCATTCAGGGGCTGATTCTGTTCTTCAGCGTTGTTAACCCTTTAAAGTCCACCCAGCAGCTGGGCATAGGGAGGCCTTGCCTTGTTTAGGAAGCTGCCTGGGGCTCCACCATCTCTGCGGACTATGGAAACAGGTTTGAGAAGCCGGAGGCAGGAAGCCCTGAGCCTGATCTCTGCCCTTGACCTCACACAGAATGTTGGATATCCAGGAGGTAGAAGGCCAGGTGGGGGCTTCCCCTCCTGTCACGGTCAGCCAAGCTGCTCTGGCCATGCCTGCCCTAGACCCCGGGGGGATCAAGTCAGCCATTCCATCGCTGAGAACTGTAAAGAGTAGTGTTGTCCAGGTGGCTGTCACATCATAGCCAGAGGAGGACCCTCTGTTTGGGAAGCCAGACACCACAGTCCTGTCCACTTAGCTTCAGCCCAAGTGACCTGAACCACACCTTGTGTTGATGGCCTGGCTTTTGGCATCAAGTAAGTTGGGGTAGGATTTAGCACCCGGTTGGGAAAACAGACTAGAGACTGACTCATCGACTGACAAGCTCCGAGCCACCAACAGAGGCTGGGGTAGTGATCTTATGTGAAAGCTGTGTTTCCTATTCTGCAGCATCCGGGAGGTTAGAGGTGGGAGAAGCAAGCATGTTTTCAAGGGGTTTTCTGCATGTTTTCTCGGGAATGATAAAATGGAAGGGTGCTGAAACATGGAAAAAAGCATTCCCCAGAACTCCTCTTAGAGAGATCACTGTATTTTGGGGAAAAGAAATGTTTTTAAAAATATGTTTGTATTGATTGGAGAGAGAGGAAGGGAGAGGGAGACAAACACCCATGAGAGAGGACCCCCAATCGGCTGCCTCCTGCGCACCCCCTACTGGGGATGGAGCCCCCAACCGGGGCATGTGCCCCGACCAGGAATCAAACCTGCCACCTTTTGGTGCGTGAGACGATGCTCCACCAACTGGACCGTAACGGCAGGGGCAGGGAAGAAATACTTTCAATGCCTCCTAAACAGAAGCATCCATACGCAGTGATTACAGAACTTCTGTACAGTAAACGGAGAGAAACATCTTCTCCTTAGAGAGACCGAGGTACAAACGGGAAAGAAGTGACACGTGACGCAAGTGTGTGCAGTGTGACAAGGCCACTCCCAGGGAGCACCCCCGCCCCAGTCTTCCATGAAGCCCAACAAACACAAACGCTGACCGTAGACAGTTTGTGGGGTTTCAGGTGTGGCCGAGAGGGTGCAGGATCTCCGGGCTGAGGCAGCCAAGACCCCCGGAGGCAGCGAGCCCCTTAGAAGTGGGCCCGTCTTCGGGAAAGGGAGCGTGGGACTTCCAGAGGCCAGGCGACAAGGAGGTTCAGGGTCATTGGACCTGGATCCCCGAAGCAGGGTGCCTTCCCCCTGGCTTGGGAGTCACCTTAGATATTCAGGATGCAGGAAGCCTCTGCTCTCCAGGCAGACAGTCTTGTCGGGCATTGCTGCCCACACACCTGAGGTCTCTCTTTCCTCTGTCGCTGAGCTAACTCGGAACTTGTCTCACTTCCAGGTGGCAAGACAGGGCAGGCCCCTGGCTCCCGAGCGCCTTCTCCCCGGCTTCCCACCAAAACCATCAGCGGGCCGCTCAACCCCCCAGCATCTCCCAGGCTGGGCAACGCCTCGGAGGCGCAGGGTGCAGCCAGGACGGCCCCTCTGCGCCCCAGCGT